GTTATACGTAATTTCAGTGTTCCTCAATGTAAGTTTACGTAACGTACGTTATCCGCAATGTCAGTTGTACGTAATGTACGTTTACATAATGTAAGTTGTTCATAATGACGTTTTACGTAATGTAATGGTAAAGCAATAGTTCGCACTAAGGATTCTTTGACTAATATTGTCATTTACAGAAATCTGGCAAATACTAAATCTTTGACCACAATTCATGTAAACGCATTTGAAGGAGCTTCTTCTTTGCAGACATTGTAAGTACATTGATAGAAACACTGAGTGCCAATGTTAAGGGCGTACTGACGTATCCATTTCTAGACGACCTGGTTGCTATACTAGCCGATGCAAGCCAATCGGAGAAGCGGGCGCGCGCGCGTTTTCATGGCGGGAAAATGTTTACTTCCGGTGGAAAGGTTTTTGTTCACTATAAAATGTATGGTATCATTTAAAAAATATAATCTTCGGTGCGAAACATCAAATGGACGTGTTTTCTCAATATTTATGTTCTTCACAGCCTCCTCTTCAGAAGCAAGCATGGGTTTAGCGAAAAATTAAAAAATAAGAAAGTTTTTGGCATTTTTCGCTTATTTGTGGCATTTAAAAAATCGTAAAAAGCTTATTTGGCAATCATTCTAAAAACGCATGCTTGGCTTTACGGACTTAAATCTAAAGATTAATTTCATCCATTYTAAATCATTTAATATACTTTGCTTGATGAAATTATAGCATTTTTTTGTATTAATGACGTCACGCGATGACGTCATACAATGACGTCATAGAATGTGTTATTTTTGTTTGGGAAGGCTTTATACTCAATACGAAAGCGATTTTACTTTTGTTTGTCTCCACTCTTTTTGTGCCCTTGTTATCACAGCATKATTAGTTATGGTMTGTTTGTGTCTTTTAGAATTCTCGACAACACAAGAATAACATCTTTRCCACARCATGGACTGGAAAACCTTCAGTATTTAAGYYTGAAAGAGGTTCCAGACCTTTGGMGYCTTCCTCCAGGTTTATGGAACTTGCGCGAAGTATATCTAAATCAATACAATAGATTTCTATGTTGTGCCTTCACAATGAATGTTTACAATGGTGACTGTGTCAGACAAGGTCACCACGGTGCTCAAACAACGCCTACTTCAGGGTCGACAACACCACCACTTAAAACTGATGAAGGATGGACTACACAAAAGACAACATTGCCACCACATGATACAACAAGTAAACCTGGATTTACGTTGCCGGGAGGTGGAGGAGGAGGGCAGCCATCGAATGGAACAAAACCTACTGCTGTTTCATCTAATGTCAACACCACTAGTTCTGGAGGTAAGAAGTGGACTTGGCCGGGCGGCGGAGGAGGAGGGCAGCCATCGAATGGAACAAACCCTACTGCTGTTTCATCTAATGTCAACACCACTAGTTCTAGAGGTAAGAAGTGGACTTGGCCTGGCGGCGGAGGAGGAGGGCAGCCATCGAATGGAACACAACCTACTGCCGCTTCATCTAATGTCACCACCACCAGTTCTGGAGGAAACCAGTGGACTTGGCCGGGCGGCGGAGGGGGATTTTCAAAGCCCTCAACATCTCCACCGAGTGCTACCACTAGTAATAATGGTGGTGGATGGTTTCCAGGAGGAGGGGGTGGATTTGTAACGCGACCAACTGGTATTTCAACGCATGAAAAGAAAACGTTTACGTGGTTTAGTATTCCTGGAATTCATAACACCACTGCTGCTCCACCATCACAAATATCTGGAAATCTTTCTAATGCGAGTCTTTACAAATGCCCCGATGTTCGAATAGAAGTGAAGTGTTTCCCAGGGCCAGACGCGTTCCATCCTTGTGAAGACATAATGGGCTACACACTTCTCACCGTCGTATCAGCAATTGTTGGTTTAGTAGCTTTACTATCAAATCTTGTGGTTGGGGTCGTGTTAATTACAAGTCAAAGACGTCTTAATGTTACCCGATTCTTAATGTGCAACTTGGCGTTTGCTGATTTTTGCCTGGGACTTTATATCTTCATCCTGACGTGTTTTTCCATCGAGACACATGGTGAATATTACAACTATGTCAGGTTATGGCAGCACGGAGTGGGATGCAAAGTCTTGGGATTTCTAGCGGTCTTCTCCTCCGAGCTGTCTCTGTTTACTCTTGTGGTAATGACAGTGGAGCGATTTTATGCCATTGTGTACGCCATGCAGCTCAACACTCGCTTGTCTTTTCGCTGGTCTGTGCGAGTGATGCTTTGTGGATGGGTATTCGCTATTATAATCGCCGTTCTCCCATTAACAGGAGCGAGTAGCTACGACAAGGTTGCTGTTTGTTTACCATTTGATGWCACAGATGCTGGGTCTACTGTTTATGTGTCCTTCTTGTTGCTGCTCAATGGCTGTTCTTTCATCTTAGTCGTCTATTTGTATGCAAGGATGTTGATGGTTGTGGTCAAAGGAGGTGACATGGAAGGTGCGCCAAAACGYAACGACAAGAAAGTGGCTAAAAGAATGGCATTGTTGGTRTTYACTGACATGGCRTGTTGGGCTCCGATAGCATTCTTCGGTCTCTTGGCAGCATTTGGAGCGCCGCTGATCAACGTCACGGAATCCAAAGTACTCCTCGTGTTTTTCTTTCCTATAAACAGCGTGTGTAACCCATTTCTTTACGCATTTTTCACCAAAGCCTTCAAAAGAGAATTCTACGCTCTTTTAAGTCGCTTTGGTTTTTGTAAGCTTAGAGCGCTGAAGTACAACGGAACTCTAAGTTCGGTGTTGTACTCAAGATCTCGGCGAAATCATACATATTCAAACGACGATAGGCTCAAGAGAATATCGACAGTGTCAAGCCCAACTCAGAACGACTTCAAGAGAATATCAACTATATCAAGTCCATCATTTAATGACTCTAAGCAAAGTAACGTCGATTTGGTCGGTAAGGCAAGAGAGAATGGGGAAAGTATACAAATGAATGGCATTTCTAACTTAGCGTACTCACCGGATAGCTCACAAACCACACCCAAAACGACCGCAAAGTTCGTTAAAAGTCCTTCACAAGCTGAAGATGATGAGGTCTTCATCGCTTCAACGTCGTCTAAACCATCTTCTGCGACCAACACGCCACAATCAACACCCAAAAGGATTTCAATTGTTGAAAAAAATCCAAATGAGGAAAAAGTACAGCAAGCGTGCAATAACRTCGACTCTAAAACTTTAGATAATGGTGAATGTGTTACCGATCAAAAGGACTTTTCATCTTCATGTAAACCAGCGTCCAGCTCACCGAAATCAATCCTCAAAAAGACTTCAATAGTGCGAAATGTTTACGATGAAAGTAATGATAGCCAGTACACTTTGTCTCGAGAAGATTGCATTGAAGAAAGTTGCTGCAAAGTGTAATGAAAACGGAGAGGTCTGACGCGAACTGGTCAATGAATGACTAAATTTATACACCCAAAATATATTAATCACTCAAGAGACAAATGTCTCACCGACGAGATATATTCATTTAGTACTAGCGACAATGTTTATTTCGTACAACATTACAATGTTATCAGTTTTATGGAAAGTATTTCTCTACAAGGATACGTACTCGTAACTCTGCGTTTGTTGTTTTATTTAGTTTCATGGCTGGGAATGATTGCATGAGAACACTGGAGAAAGGGTTGGGCATGTATGCATGGCAATATGCTCCAAAACAATTACAGGTTTGGGTAACCTCATTGTCGCCTGGGCAATATTTGCGTCGCCATGTGGAATCAGAAAGCGGCGTTTACACGGGCAATTTTTCCTTTTACAAGTTTTCCTTGACAAGGAAAAAGTGCTCGTGTAAATGGGGCAAAATGGACAATTTTTCCTTGTCAAAGAAAAGCCAACATGTTCGCTTTTCCCTTTACAAGGAAAAATTGTCAAGAATGAAATTTGCTCGTGTAAATGGACAACAAGAAAAAAGTGGCAAGGAAGAATTGTCAAGGAAAACTTGTTGACCATTCACACGGGCAAATTTTCCTTGTAAAGAAACTTGTCAAGGAAAAATTGCTCTTGTAAACGCCGCTTAATTCGATACATTTTGCATGCACATCTAGGGTAACCAGCCATTCAAAGTTCTGCCATTTCAACCCTTTCCGATCGACAAAGAAGTGAAAGTATAAATTGGATGTAATCATAGAAAAACAGTAGTGTTGCGCCGGCAAACACAAGAGAACAACTGTGGCTTTTAAAGCTAAATAAACTGTTTTTCAGCGACACTAAGTGCAGATTTCACCTTTAATTTAAAATAAATGAAAATGTTACTAGTGGATCCAAAACTTAATAGAGTTAATATTGGTGGTTGTTTATGTAAAATTAAAGTATATTATTAACGATCAGTTGTCCCTCAAAATTCATATTTTTAGTTCACTTATACAAACGACACGAAGCTGACCCAGTTAGTTTTCGTAACATTTTAGTAGACRCACTCTGCAAATGATAAAGCTCCCASAAATCATTTATTTAACAAATCCAAGAAAAAAAATTCACCAMGGCAAACCGCAGGATTTTTGATGGTGACCAGTCACATGAATATTTCGTAAAAAAATCTGAAACCTAAAGTCATTAGCTTCGATGTGGTTAACCAGTAAAAAATTCAAAAATTATTGAAGTGCCCTTGATTTTTCTATAAAATCCCACAAGATAGATATGCCTTTTAAAATGTTTTATCCGATCACTAGAAAGTGCAGGAAGCGCGCTAAGGACCATGGTTGGCAATGACTCTTCAAGGCTCACACTCACTATCTGATTAGATTAAATCTGTGTTTAGAACTATACTGCCGTYATCGCAACAACCTATCGTTTACTCTTAAATATATACTATCTATATCTGTTCCTGTTTCGTGGGAAAATGCGCTCTGTGTAAAATTTGCCGTTCTGGAAATATCCGTGCGTATTTGAATGCAATTAATTCGAAGACAAGTGCTACTGAAYTGCATGTTAATTTACATACTTCTTAATAGACAATTAACAGCTTTCTTTCTCCGTTTATCAACTCTGTCTTTCATGCTTTATTTATGTTTTTGCTATGTTTTTTTTCTTGCTTCTAGGATAACACTTCGTCGTTTTGTCARTGAGATAGCATCTCTGGCTTGTGAATTAAAAATTTCAATACACTCATACTGACAGATGTTATTTTACATTTTGCTAATTCTATGAAAAAAGGCAAACACTCATCCATACATTGATGATTATTATATCCATGTATTTATTCATTTTCCATCCATCCACTACGTCATTCATTCATTCGTTTTTTAAAATGAAACTACTATGTCACGCACGMATGTCACACAACGCCAGCATTGCAATAGAAAGTCCAGAACGGCCATTATTAGTACAAGAGGCAAAAATCTTTAATCTGAAAATGTTCAATTTCCTTTGACAGCAGGGGATTTCGATGAGGATGACTGGAGATGTGAAATACATTGAAAACCATTGATGGCTTACTGCCAGTGTCACGCTAGTCCATTATTACAATAACAATACATGCATACTTATTTCCATAGCCTTGACATTSAACACGAAAACCTCCTTTAGTATTAAGGCCCCTTCATCCCTAAACCGCGTAACTTTATATATCTACCGCATAAAAAGGAAAGGAAGCTGACGGCTTAGCCAAGATAAGTTTCTGTCAGTCTTGTGACTGAGGCCAAAATGAGTGAATTATTACGAATAATAATAAAGACTCCAAATTCATTTTAATAGCTAAACTGGAGTGCCGAGCGAAGGAATGGCATTTTCGTCTTCCTCTTGTAAWGTTTGCTGCAATAATTCTTTCTCTATTGATAGACGCATAAAACTCCCAAGAGTTCTTCTTCGTTGTCGGTTTGCAGTTTTTCGTTTGGCCCTGACATTGAAAAAATAGTCACTTGCTTCTCGAAGGTCTTTAGCCACTTTCATTGCTTCTCTTGACAAAGGAGCTGAGTTCGAACGAGATCGCTGCCCTTCTAAGATGATATCTTGCTTTTTCACTGCTAAATAATCCATTGAATGAAACGTAGGAGTTGACTTTGTGTAGTGCAAAGGTTTGTGAGCTGCAGTTGACTTGCTTGCGTTATYCTCYACCGTGGCGCCAGTATCACTGGATGACTCAGCCATGGTCAGTATAAATTTTGTCCCCAGTCACACAATATGTAAACAGCTTTCGTTTTACAATTTAAGTGATCGTTAGTTCAACTTTGGCAAGCCGCTCTGTTGCAGAGTAAACGAATTAATACAACTGTGACGAGATTGAGGTAATTTTAAACAGCTTGTACTCTCGGTTCGTCCCAACAAAATATGTCCAAACAAAAGCCTTTTATCTGCCAATCAGATGAAACCTCTTTTATAAATCACTTGTGTAGTCTAACTTTACATTTGAAGCGAAGTAGAATAAACATAAACAGTTCTTGTTTATGCGTGCCTACTTCTATAATTTTACCAAGTRGACCTCAATATTTTTGAATGACGTCATTGTTTATAATACACAAACGAGAAAGACTCGGCACGAAAAACAAAATGGCGGACGAAAGATCGACATCGGGACGTTCATCGAAAACTGTTCAAAAAATATACGGAATAACAAAGGAAGAGTTTATGAATGATGTATCAACTGCACGAATACCTGTAGTTCTCAAAGGGGTAGACATTGGTCAAGCCATTCATAAATGGCGTCCAGATTATTTAGCAAAAGTTGGTGGCGAGAAACCGGTGAAGATTCACGTGTGTTGTGAAGGTCGTATGGACTTTTTGAATAGAAACTTTGCTTACAAGTAAGCTTTATGGTTTTATAACTTTATTGTTGATGTTTTCTTTTGTTAATTAAAAAAATAGGAATACAGAAAGTAAAGATCTTTATTTTTTGCTTATTCAGTATAAGTTACATGTAACCATTCTCTCTTTTTTATTTTTATTTATTCTTAAGCTTATTTATTTATTTATTTTTTGCTTGTTTTACAGAACTCTTGAATTCGACAAACTAGTGTCAAGAGCATCAGAAGACATTCATTCTGAATATTTTGTTTCTCCAGTGAGTATTAAATCACCTTGGGTTGTGCATCAAAAAGACACTGTCATCATGATACCAATGATGATAGTTGTCATTTCATGATGCCAGTAATCTGTGGGTGATCATAATTTCATTTTATTCAATGTGCATAGCATATTATGGGGTGTATGTCTTTAATTGAACCACATAATTATTATTGATTATTTTTYCTTTTGATAGGATGAAAAATATTATCTAAGATCACTAGGAGAAGACCCTAGAAAGGTAATTAAACACAAGATAAGGCTTTTCCTGTCTTTCCTTCATTTTAATGATAAAAGAGTTAAATTAAGGAGTTAAATTATTCCATTACTTTCTTTCATTACTGTTTGACTTGACTTGATATTTATGTTTTTGTATTTATAGGATATTTCTGATATAAATGTTCATTTTCCATCACTTGCACAAGACATAAAAATCCCAGACCTCTACCCRCAAGAACAGTTCTTTTCAAGTGTGTTCAGAATTGCTTCACCAGGCTGCCAATTATGGACTCATTATGATGTAATTTTAATGCATTATGGTAGATTAGCACTACATAGTAGACAGTAATAC